TGTTTTCTCATAAAGAAGGCAAGAAGTAGCAATGGAGTTGTGAGCATCATAGTTCCACTCAAAAAGAATGGAATCAAATTTTCGATCATAAGTTTAAAGACTTATCTGTGGAGCAATTGTTGTGCACCATGAACTTGAGAAGTTGAAATGTATCTTAAGCTACAACAAGTGATGGAGGCAAACCATTTTGAACGGTGCCCCTACTTAGGTGTTTGTTCCTGAAGATCCTCTATTCTTCTTTTCTTCAGTAATCTTGTTATGATGATGTATATATATGTTGATATGATTATTATTATTATTATTTTTGTATGCAAATATGCATGCTATTAATCAGAGAATTTTATTTATTTATTTATTTTATTACTGATTTATACATAAAAATAGAAGAATTATTCTCTTGAATCATAGGTGGTTGATTTGTAACGTTCCATCCATTTATATGATGGAGAGAATACTCCATATGGTTCAAAATTTGATAGATGTAGCACAGATTAACCCCTATTATGCACCCTGGGTCAGGTTTAATTTTATATCCCCTCTATGCATACATACAAGATAGAATAATTATTGATATGCATATAGACAGTAATAATACATAATGATTCTAACCTTGTACACACCCTCCATTGGAAAGTTTCCCTTAAGATTGCCATCTATAATGGATTCCAATGCAGTCTCTGGATCTTCTTCTTGGAATATTTTATTTACCCATAATTTACAATCAGCAAGTTGTGGCCAATTGAAGATGGAAAAATCCCAAGGTCTTTGAATGGCTCGTCAATGATATAGTGTGACGCTCATTGAAGGATACCTGAATGATCGCCAGCGTAATCGAAAGAGATTTGAAAGGGGTTCCACAGAGATTGTTGTTCCTGAACGAAACGAACTCGAATTTGGTCTGGGGAGCGGATTTTCAGAAGAGGATCTTGATCAAGAGGTCGTGGTAGCCGGAGATGGCGTGTGGTGGCAGTCATCATCCGGTGAGGATATATATTTCATTGCCAGTATATGTGATGGGTAAGATTGGTGTCGAGTCTTAAGGAGCAAAGCAAATACTACAAGAAGTATTACTGTAATAATATATGTGTGGAACCATGTTGCCCATTTATGGCGATTAGTACTCGTTTCCACAGACGGCGCCAACTTTTGATGCAAGAATCTGTACGTTCTGGAGCCCTTGGCAATTCCTGCATGACAAGAGAAGTGATGACCGACGGTGCACTCCGACGGTTAAGTTAGTACTTGACGATTCAATATCCGATAAGGATTACATATGAAAATTTTGGCGTACCTTTTTAGGTTGACCGATCACTTCTTTTATAGAAGCATTAATGGTAGTAGTTGTTGAAGTGAGATTCTCCCCGATCCAAAATGATATCGTTTCCTTCTTATAGGAATGGTAACTGTTGTTGCATATGGTAACTAGATATTTTTTATGATTACATAGAGATTTTGAGGAGGATAAATCCCTTACACTTATCTTATTTCTCATTTGAATTTGAGTTGTTCCTTATCTATACCATTTGAGTTTCCATGTCACTTGAAATTCTTATATAGTAGAATATTTCGTATCAGGTTTCTATACTCAGACAAGATTTATTTATTTTAAACTATTAATTAAACTGACATGGTTATAACACAAATATGATTAACAGTAATTTAAATTAATTTAATTCGTATTAGATTTATGCTAAGTTCGGTAGGAAGGAAAAAAATTAAATGGAAGGGAGAGAAGAAAGGATGATTTAGAAATTTCTAGGAAATAGATAAATTAAATGGAAGGGAGAGAAAAAGGATGATTTAGAAATCCCTAGGAAATAAATTAAGAGTTTTCTTCTTTTTATTCGGTTGAATGGAAGAGAATGAAAAAAACTGATAATTTAATTTGATATATCGGATAAAATGAAATATAAATTTTTAAGTTATTTTTACCATTAAACTCATCCCTTATTTTATTTATGGAATTTATTAAATATTTATAAAGGGTGATGTAGTAATTTAAAACTTCCATAATAAGCTCACTTGTTTTTTCTCCTATCTTCAACCCATATTTGGGTGGATGAAAATTTGTGAAGGAGGGGGATGACTAATCATTCTTATTATCATTTCTTTCCTTATATCATCTCTACCGAATGAAAAAATTTATTCCTTCCTTTCTATTTTCCTTTCACCCCCTTTTTTTTCTTTCCACCGAACATAATATTAAGTCATGATAGTTAATTTTAAATTTAGTCACTCTTTGTTTCAACTTGATAAAAAGGATTTTTAAATGTAAGGTATAATCATTCGAAGTATGTTACTAGTTAAATTACATAGATTTATTTTTTTATTTTTTTATTTTTCATGCGCACAGGTCCATACAACATGACAGGTTTGTGAATAAAAAAAAGTGTGTTTAACATGCACTCAAATTTAATATGGTGCTTAGTTCGTTTTGCTTTTCATAACTTTAATAAACTTGGCGTGTAATTTGTGATTGTTTTTTATGCTGTTTTTATTTTTGTTTGTTTAGATCTGTTCATGTTTGATTTATTTTCGACTAATATGGATGGATCTGCTATTTTCTCTCTGGCTAGATCTCTTATCTATGTCGGTTTTGGTTGTTCTCGACTCGATCTGATATTTTCTCCTTAATTTGATCTCGTGTGGGTTTTTGGGTGATTTTTTCCCATGTAACTTTGGAGTTGTTGCCTTGATAATGACCAGGTCTTTGGCTCACTCTTGTTATTGCGTTTCTGTCTTGGTGATTTTCAAGTTTGACTGTTGTTCTCAACAAATCGAACAAATCAGGAGCCTATATATTTTTTATTTTTTCTTATTTTGCTCCAAAATTTGTATGTTTTTTTTTTATTCTTGAAATGTATGCTTTTGCAATGAATTTTTTTTTCCCCCCTTTTTTCCAATTCGTTTTGAGCACTTGGACACCCAAATTGTATAACAAGTTCAAACTATGAAGCTAATTTAGACAACAGAGATGATGAAATTGAACAATTTTATAGAAATATAACACTTAGAGCATCCGCATCCCACTAGCAGAACCCAATTTTCGCGAGGCAAAGGGGCTTTGGGTCATGCAGCGGGCTCTTTAAACTGGTAGGGCCCATTTTAGGCTCGCGGAATTCAGCGAGCCGGCCCGCGATCGTGGTATTTTTTTTTTTGTTTTTGTTTTTATGGTTAGAAAACGGCGCCGTTTGGCTGCCTGTTTGGGGAGTCTTCTTGCAACGGCCATATATAGTTGCCAAACAGTGCCTCTGTTTTTTGTCTCTTCTTGCAACGGCAGAGTACAGTAGCCAAACAGTGCCTTAAGGCACTGTTTGGCAGATATTTTTTTTTAAAAAAAAACCTAAAAATAGGTTATTTAGAGCTATTTTTTTTGGGAAAAAAATAAAATAAAATTCATTAAATAAAAAATATATTGTTTAGGCATTGTTTGTGCAAAAAAAAAAAAAAAAAAAAAAAAAAAATTGGGCCAAAAATAAATTAAAACAGCTTTTTTTTTTTTTTTTTTTTTTTTGTTTTTCCTCTTAAAATTTGGTTTTTTTTTTTTTGTTTTAAATTTTAAATGTGAGGCCAAATAGTGTATTTAGCCGTTAAGGCACTGTTTCTACAGTACCAAACAGTGCCTTAACGGCTATAACTTTAAAAAAAAGTTTAAAAATTCAATTTTTTTAACTTTATTCAAAAAAAAAATTAAATTAAATTAAAATTTTTAAAATCTCTATAAGTACCCTAACTCCTTCCATCACTCATCACATCTTTATTATCTACCATTCAACTTATTTCTTCTTCTATTTTCTCAATCTTAGCTATTATTTTCAAAGTCATTTCGATTCCATGGATTCTCGATATCCATATTATTACAACACCCAATTCAACCCATCAAACAATGAGTTTTTGCCATTTCCAGAAAAGAATATCAATTATTATGGAGAAAATTCTCATCAACCATCCCAACCTTCTTATCAACCATCCCAAACTTCTCATCAATATTGTGGTACTAGTGTTCCACAATCAAGTAACTCAAAACCCCCGTCAAAACAATCGGCTATCCGTCAAAACACCTGGTGTGGAAGAATATCAACTACAAAGATCAGCAGGAAGAAAAGCGACGAAGTAGCGTCGAGCAAAAATTAATTCAGCAAATGAATTGCAAACTTCATTCGTTTCGAAATTTAATAATATCACCACCCGTTTTGAGAGTCGTCAGGAGAAAATGCAAGATGCTCAAGTGGCACGAGAGGTAAGAAAAATGGAGAAAGAGAAGACAAGGCAACTAGAGATTAAAGAGAAACAGAGCCTTGAAGAGAAGGAGCTCATGTTAACAGATCCAAATTTGGCACCAACAGAAGCGGGGAAAGCTTAGATTATTGCACGACAAAATGAGATATTGACATTTTTGAATTCATGGTCCGCCCCAAAGTTTTCATAGGATTTTGTAATCCTTGATCTATTTATTTTTTTATTCCAATTTAGGATATTGTATTGTTTAAGTTATTTTTAATTGTTTTGTTTAATTTGTTTTTTTTAATCCATAATGGATAATGTATTGTTTCAAGTTCTAATATTAATCGTAGTTTTTTTAATAATTTACAAAAAATATTGTTCGATTGAAAAATATTGCCGTTGAGAAAATATAGGTGTTGCAAATATAGCCATTAAAAATATAACCGTTAAAAATATAGCCGTATAAGAAAAGTTAAAAAAAAAAAAAAAAATTAATTTTAATTTTTTTTGGAGAGCGAAAATTCGGAGAGCCTGATGGAGTGCATATTTTTGGAGAGCGAAAACTGCTGACGTGGCTCTTGGAATTGCTGATGTGGCTCTTGGAAAAGCTGATGTGGCGTTTTTAGAGAGTCAAAATTCGGAGAGGCTGGTGCAGATGGCCTTAGATCGCAAAAGTTTGTAGACTATTTATGTAGAGTATGGTTGTAGGCTTTTAGGCTGTGCAAGGCACGTTTTTTGAAAAGAATAACTTGGTGTCCCACATCGGCTAGAAACTGAAAGTCATTGCACCTAATATACGTTTGGTGGAAAAATACAGAGAAGATTAGCATGGCCTTGCGCAAGGATGACACGCACAAATTGAGAAATGGTCCAAATATTTTTTCCCTTTTTTGCCCCTTCTTCCGCATCTGCTTTTACAAAAATACCCTCCTAATTCATCAGTTTCCCACAGTACCCCTGTTTTTTCCACGTGTCTTCTAATCCCTTTTAAGACTCACCAGAAGCTTATCGTGGAGCTCCCTCCCTCAGCAACTTCAACATTCTCTTTCATATCTGCGTTCCCCTAACAATTTGTCTACTCCTCTCCCCCACTCTCTTTCTCTATATATGTATATAATAGATATATGTGTATATATTAACTCCATCAATAATTGTTATGATAACTGTTGAGGGCAACAATTGTAACCCTCGAAACCAAGGTTAGTTCTCTCTTCCCTTTTCACTCTCTATCAGGTTCTCTCCATGGGTCTATGTATGTGCTTGATTTGGGATTTTCGTTTGCTGTTGTTATCGTTAACAGTTTCGGGTTAGGGTTAGGGTTCATTCTAAGTTTTAATTCAGAACCAGTTTTTTGCTTCAACAAGTGTTTTGGCTTCTCTTGAAGTAGTAACATCACTAATTGCTTTCTTCAATTCATCACAAATTTAAATGCCAACAATAACAGTATTTTCTTAATTTCTCTAATATTTTGGATGCCTTTCCTCACAATAGAAGCCAGGCTATCAAACCTTAATTATATTAGTAAAACAGAAGTTACCATTGCAATCCTCTTTTTCTTCTTTATCCATTGCTTCATTCTTTGTTCGTTCAGATAACGCTTGATTTTTCATGCCATCTCAAATTCTGCAGAAACTTTCAAATTCTGCAGAAACTTTCTTTTCTTTCTATTCTTTTCCTTTTAAACCAAATTACTGAATCAGACTGAACTAACCCAAAATTAATCATGGTTGAGCTAGTTTCTGCTTTATTTTAGTTTCGAGTGAGATATCATGGAGTTTATTTTTTTCCATCCTGTTTTGGGTTGACACAGAACTCAACCATCACAAATTGATCAATGCCAAGCCTGAAAACACAGGTTTATGTTGAGGGCAGTCACTAATATCGCAATACTCTTGTGGCCTCAATCATCAGGCCTTTGCAAAATTTGTTTTTTGGGAACATTCATGTATTTTGTATATATTTCAGTTCAAAAGTAAGTTGGAAACTAAATCCAAATGATCTAACCTACCCATTGCAGATAAATCAATGGTAACAATTGAATTAGAGATGCCATTTGCGATCATTTAGTGTTCATTGAAAATTTTAGCATGAAGGTGAACATTGTAAACCTTATTACTAGTGCATTGGTGTTAGAGGCTGGACTTTCAATTGAGATAATATCATGGTGATTTATTCTTAATATTGAGTTCTTGTGACTGTGTTGCAATCTGGCACTATAGCCATAAGATCTTGCGATTTTTCCATATTTATTCATTCTGAATTGTTGATCTAACCATTATTTGTGCACAAATTCTTTGGTTTATGATTGTCATAATTTTAGATCATAATTTCAGCCAATGCATATATTCTTGAAATAATTTGAGACCGTAAAATTCATCCAGATGTACTTGATGCAACAATTTGCTAATGTCATCTGATATGGACAATGTATGTTTTTTGGTAGTCTTCTTAATCTATGATACTAGTTCACTATACACTTTATAATCTATGATACCAGAAGGTGGGTGTTGTCTTGCTGCCTAATTCTGATCAAATTTGCTGGATTTACTGGTCAAAGAATTGATAGGAGGGGGGGGGGGGGGGGGGGGGGGGGGGGAGGTGTTTGGGAAACTTCTCTTAAGCCAATAATAATTTTGATTATATTCTAATCAAACCACCTTCAGAGTTGTATTAGCTAAAAAACAATTGCATCTGTAAATATTTTGTTGGCGTGTCATCAGTTAAAAATTAAGCCAATTCTAACTCTTGAACAATTTGGTTATAGATTATCATCTCATCATCACATTTTTCCCGCCTATTGTTGAATATGATTAGACATCATCATCTTGCTTGTTTTTATTGTTAGTTCAAAATCTGACCTCTTACATAGAATATTTAGCAAGATTGCACTAGTTACTTGGTTTCATGGCTTATTTTGTAAAGAAAGGGACTATTGGGCTGGTTGGAGGATTGGATGGGGCACAGGAGACTTGTATCTCTTGATGGAAACCTAAATTTTTGTATTGGTGAAGTAACACTGATGTTGCCCAAACCAGATGAGAATTAAATTTTGAGGATTTGAATTCCCTGGTTGTTGTAAGGTCCTGCTAATTGGTATTGCTCGTAGCTGCAGAAAGAAGAGAGCTGTCCACATGACAACCCCCACAGATGACAAGAGACTTCAAAGCACCCTGAAGAGAATAGGAGTGAATGCCATTCCTGCAATTGAGGAAGTCAACGCATGTAAAGATGATGTAGTTATCCAGTTTATTAATCCTAAAGGTAACACCAGTTGTGGCAGTAAACCCTGTATTTTCTGTCAACCCTTCTGCTCCTCTTACGCAACTGATAAATTATTTTTCTTTCACGTATCAGTGCAAGCCTCTATTGCTGCCAACAATTGGGTTGTTAGTGGTTCTCCTGAGACCAAGAGTATGCTTTCTCCGTTTTCTCCTCTGCTTATAATTTAATGCTCGTTTACGTAAGTTATCTGAGTTTGGTCATTTAATTCATTATATTTACAGCTAAATTCAAATGATAAAATTGCGAATGTAGGTTTAGGGTCATTTAACTTATATTGTATCTCAACTGTTGCTTCAGCATGCATGTTCTGTCATCTGCTGTTGGTTTAGAGTGGGGCTGGGCGGTCATTTGTTATCCTAGGCCCATTCCATCATCTCTACTAGTTTTAGATTATTCTGACTAGAGATTTAATTTTACCTTTGAATTTTCTTCTGTTCTAGAATTGCAAGATATTCTTCCTGGAATTATTAATCAATTGGGTTTGTGCCTCTGTCTTTACTGTTATTTTTTGTGTCTTTTTATTTCCCTTCACTGGGAGCTTCTTAGAGGAACGAAAAGATTGGTTAAATATTGACCTTTTGTTTCATCTTTTTAGGGCCTGATAACTTGGACAACTTGAGGAATTAAGTTGGCAAAGAAGTTCCAAAAGCAGGCACCTGGTTCCCGAGCAACAGAAGAGGATGATGATGATGAGGTCCGAGAGCTTGTGGCTGGGGAGATCTTTGAAGCCCTGCAGAGGAGGGGAACAAGTCTTAGGGAGTTTTAACCTGGATTGTCATTCCTTATATTTCTGATGTTTCTTAAGAATGTATATTTCTGATGTTGAGTTATTTACTGGTTCCTTTTTTCTGATGCCCAAGTAGAAAGTGTACTCCATCATTGCTGGTGATAAGCAGACTAGTATTGAATATCACTGCTCTAATCACTTCGGTATCATTAGGTCTTGGTAAACTTGTAGTACAACTACTAACTAATGTAGTATCACATTTTGTTAACAGTAATATTCAAGCATTTATCTTCTATATTTTGTTATTATTTTATATATATATATTTCATTTTAACTTTCAGACACCAATTTTATTTTATTCATAATGAGATATGATCTTTCAACTTCTCACTTGGAAACGTAGACTAAGGAGATACCATTCTTACTTGGAAAGGAAAAGGACCAAGGTTATGGCACTTGATGGTTCTACTGTATACTTTGTTATTTATGTCATTAAGTGTGATTGTTTTAGTTTTATTTAAGAGTAATGATAGGCAATGCGAAAATTCTCCGATTACCTTAAGGTTATGTTTGGCGGCATGGAATTGGAGTTTGACTGCTTCTTGATTCTCTCTTTACGGCATGGAATTGGAGCTTTGGAATTGGAGAAAATTTTGATTCAATTTTTTGAGTTAGTTTTCTCTAATTTTACCACTTTCAATTCCAAAACTCTAATTTCATATCTTCCAAACATAATCTAAGTATTATTGTTTTTATTTTAAGAATTATGAATGCGTATTCAAAGTCTTCTTTTTTTTTTTTTTTTTGATGGATTGGAGATATCTCATATACCTCTTAAAATGGGAAGATGAGAATTCAAATCATGATTTTTTATTTTCAAGGGCTCTAGTTCAGTGGTGTCTCATCTATCTCTTAAAATGGAAGATGAGAATTCAAGTCATGGTATGACAAATGTGTGTGCAAGTTTCTTGTCAATTATTATTATTATTTTTTTCTTAAAAAGGGTAGTGAAGTAAAATCCAAAGAAACTAGAATACCTAAATTATCGACTTTATTTAAATCGGAGAAATGATTTGGAGTCGCTCTTATGAAATTAAGCTTACTTAAAAAAGTTCTTCGTGACCATGATGAATGTAGTTTTTCATTCAGGCGATGTAGTATCGAACATTGACGGATGTATAATTTAAATACCTGCGGATAGGGAAAGGTTGTTAAATTAACGCACTATCTCATAAGATTGAGATAGGCTCTACAGATTACGATAAGGATTAAACCTATAGATTACGATAAGGATTAAGACGACGGTAAGTATACGTTACATCCTAACCTAAGCCCTATAAATAAATGGGCTAATCGGAGTTTTAAGGTATGCAATAGATCCTAACTAAATTTCTTGATTTCTCCAGAGAGATTACTTTGTATACTGACTTATTCATCGGAGCCTACTCCACCGGTAACACACCGTTGCCTGTAGGATCACATTTTTTTTCTTTTTGTTTAGGAAGTCAGATCAGATTCGGGTTGCGCAGAATCCATTATCAACAGTTGGCGCTGTCTGTGGGAAATGATTTTTTTTCTCTAAACAAAGCATGGTTCGATTGCGATCTGGTCTGGCTGCTGGCGAGGATGAAGCGTTGCAGACCTCTGCTCAAGGGGACTCGATGAGGTAACCCCCCGTCGTCCCAAACGATCAGGAACGCGTCGCAGCGTTGGAACAACAGGTTCAAACCTTAAATGAGGGAATTAACCAATTAGTCTAGCAAAATGCGATGATTCTGCAACGCTTAGCCGCCCCCAACGTAGTGAGGAACAGTGAAATACCTAACAATGACTCCCGTAAGATTGACAACGACGTTGAGCTTAGTCAAATA